GTTATCTGCTCACAAACAATATAACAAGCTAAGTGTTACATGTGTTCAGATCTGGCTAGCTGGGCTGTAAGTAGTCTGATTACCTCTGCCGAGGCAATGTAATGAAGCCTTTGTTATTTCCTTTCACTTCTGTATTCCTGATCTATTTAAGGTCACTATTGCTCTGCTATTCACATGGTTAGATAGGTCTGAGCGGGCACCCTAGCACCAAGCTTCATAGCTGCCCTCAACACTGCCCATATGCTCACGCACAGGTTACAATAATATAGTCGGAGATATCTGTACATGGGCATCCTTCTTCTTCATAGGCCTTCTAACAGTACCCCATGCTTAGATCCTCATACCTCCCCTGAACAAACCTGTTGGCGCCCTCTATAGCTGGGTCTGACACACAGTGAGTGTGGAGTGAGAGCTTAGAAAGCCGCCATAAACTCGGATGCGAACAATTATCTTGGCCTTGAAAAACTGCAGATAGAGACGCCTGTGGCAGTGATCTATGTAGCCAGGGTGCGTCAGCAATTGCAAAGAGCTTTCAAAGGCTCAAGCTTTTAAGCAAAAGCGTCCGTTCTCGAGGTGTCTGAAACATCCTCATATGGCAAAGTTTGACGCACCGTGGGCACAGCCAGCATCCTGGCTTGTGAGTTATCTGCCAACACAGCCTGCAACAGTGAACTACGGTCAGCAGGTGCTGTTGTCTGCCGCCAATATTTGTCATTACACAGGTCCGCTCAAATGGAAGCCAACGGTATTGTGACATCTAAGGTGGAGCTCAGGCCGTAGACTAATACTAACCTGCTACTTGCTGACAAAATGCAGGCCACTTCCGGTAGCTGTCCCTTCAAGTTTACTCTTCACCTGTTGTAGTATTTGAGGTGCGAGGTGCGCTGACCTGCTGGATGCGCATTCACCGCACCGAGACACCGACATGATGCACTAGGCATTTCCCACAGTCATGTGGTTGGCAGGTTTCAGCTGGAGTACCATTGAAACCTGCCACCCTATGATGTCATCAACCTCTTACCAGATTTAGATATGACGCACACAGAGCGCACTCAGCTCTGGCGCCCTTTCACTCCCCGCTATGTTTCTCTTAGTCTCAGCTTCCTCAGTGTACATAGTATTGGACTGAATATATTAGGAAGTAGATAAGCTATATAAGGACACGTAGTATTATTCTTAGAATTTACCGTTGATTACTCGTGAATCCCCCGCCTGCACGATCCAATTCACAACAGGTTATGAGCCCCGCGCTCTAATCTTCAGTCACCCACCTCTGCGGATCCATTGCGGATCAATCACAACGCCCTCTCTGCCTATTCAGGGTTGTACCTGAGACATCACTAACATACCTTATCTAGGCCTTCGCACCCAAGACTGCCGTCATGTTGTCAACCAAGATCGAGGCCCTCAAGAGCGCAGAGAATTATTTCTCTTGGCAGATCCAGATCCAGGACGTTCTCACAGAGTTGAAGCTTATAGGCTATCCCCTCGGTACCACCCCGCAGCCCACAGACACAGCGCTCATTGCTTCTTGGACTGAGAAGGACAGGTCAGCGCTTAGTAATATCCGAATCTGGTGCACCCTCGCGGTCGTTTCGCATGTCGCTACCAGTAAGACTTCAAAGGAAGCATGGGACGCTCTCACAAGCACGTATGTGAACTCCGGTACAATATCAGAGATCACCATGTTAAGAAGGCTACACAAAGTTAGTATTGCAGAAGAGGCAGACGTTGAAGTGGAGATCAGACAGATGAAGCAGCTGTATGCACAGAGCATGGGAATGGGAGGTACAATGACAGACATTCAGTTTGGTCAGGTCATCCTCGCCACACTTCCTGCTTCATGGAACTCATTTGTCAGTTCTATTTCAAGCCTGTCTATCTCTGCCAGCATTGTTGGCTGCATCATGCAGCAGCAAGACTGCCTGATCGAGCAACAGACAGAACCCACCTCCACGGCTCTTATTGCCAAGGGCACCATCAAGTCTAAGTGGAAATCAAAGTTCTGCAAGGGTGTCTTCTGTTACAACTGCAACAAGAAAGGTCACATCAAGGCTGATTGTCATTCAGCCAAGGCCCAGACTTCTGGCAATGAAGGTGTGTCCACTGGATCACACGCACATGTGGTTGAACTCTTGGACAAGTCCGACTCGTACACCTTCACATCGCATAAAGGCACATCTGCCTTTGCTGCAAAGGGCAAGACATGGCTCAGGAATACCGCCACCAAGCATCACATCATGTGTGATCACACTGCATTTGTGACTTATGTCACAACGCCAAGCACCATCTTGGGTGTTGGCGGCGCTTGTGCCGCATTGGGCTGTGGTGATGTGAACGTCATATTCATTACCAATGCTGGGATCATTCCTGCCACACTGAAGGATGTTCTGCATGCACCGTCCGTGCAATGCAACTTGCTCTCGCTGGGTCACATGATCAGCACAGGCATCAAGTTCATTGGTGAGGGAGACAAACTGTCCCTAGTAGATGGTACCTGAATTATTGGTACCGGGCGGAAAGTGAGTGATCAGCTGTATTACATGGATCTCCAGACCTGCCACCCGGCAATGTCTCTCACAACTTTTGAGCCACAAACATTCGCACCTGCCATCACCAAGGCACTCTCACAGACCCAGGCAGCTGCAAAATCGGTCACGAAACTAACTGCTGCATCAGTGCCCATTTGCGCATTGTCCCATGCTGTTACACAGGTGCTGCCGCAGATTCAGGCAGCCGCAAAATCGCTTGCAGAACCCGCTGCCGCTTCTGCACCTATCAAACCTGATTACGATCGTACTCCCCACACCTTCATCCTCCAGCAGATCCAGACACTCGCAAATCCGCTTGCGACAACTGTTGCCATGTCCGCGCTCGTCTCCACATCATTCCGTGCCACAAAGTTCCGGCAACCTCACAAGACCGATGAACTGGTCACCGCTGATTCGCCCCCTGACACTCGAGCGCGCATGTCCTGTGTCACTGTTGCCACTGTTATCGATCCCCTCGTACATGCTGCTGTTGGCACTCATCCTGACACCACACTTGCTGTTTAGACACCTCATCTCTCTCTCGCTCATTGGAATGCTGTCGAGCATGTCCTTCGATACCTCAAAAGCACCGCTGCCCTTCATCTCACCTACAATCCGGGCATCAAGGGTCTGATCGGGTACTTAGACGCTGATCAGGCCCAGCCCCTTTGTCTCATCCCCATTGACATTTCTGTCACCCACTGCGCCTCCAAAGGCAACGTCGCCGATATGTTCACCAAGGTGCTTGCCCATCCCACTCACGCACAACAGCTCACCCTCACAAACATATCTGCTCATTGAGGGGGAGTGTTGTAGTATTTGAGGTGCGAGGTGTGCTGACCCGCTGGATGTGCATCCACCATGCTGAGACACCAACATGATGCACTAGGCATTTCCCACAGTCACGTGGTTGGCAGGTTTCAGCTGGAGTACCATTGAAACCTGCCACCCTATGGTGTCATTGTAAGGTTTGGCTTTGGTAGGCACTTGATAAGTTGAGTAATCAGTGAGTCAGCAGCTACATTGCAGGACCTTGGGGATGAGAATCTGAGCTTGTGAGAGGTTATCACACCAGAGAAAGAGTGGGGTAAGTCTTGATTCTCGAGAAACTACTGTACACCATTGTATCTACTCCTATATATACTAGAAATCCTACTCTAAGTTATAATGAGGGATCAAGACGGATCCAAGGGAAGTCAGGATGAGTCAAAGGGAGTCATAGGAAGTCAAAGGATAAGAGGTATAGGAACAAAGGAAAGAATACGAAACACAAGACACATGAGGTGTCGAGAGCCCAGACCGACGAGGCAGGCGGGCGCGTTGATGCACCACCAGGCCTGGCATCCGAAAAGGGAAGGGTTAGCACCTCAACCCTTACAGTCATCACCCTCTTACCAGATCTAGATATGACGCGCAGAGCACACTTGACTCTGGTGCCCTTTCACTCTCCGCTATGTTTCCCTTAGTCTCAGCTTCCTCAGCATACATAGTATTGGACTGAATATATTAGGAAGTAGATAAACTATATAAGGACATGTAGTATTATTCTTATAATTTACCGTTGATTACTCATGAATTTCCCGCCTGCGCGATCCAATTCACAAGATCACCAAAGGCCTTCACAACCTCCCCAGTCAGCTGGTGGTGCTCCACGCTCCAATGCTGCCAATATCCAGGCCATACCACCTAATATTTATCCTGTCAAGTCTGACTCTGGCCATACAAGGGCAGCTCAGCGATTTGCTGTGGGCATTGTGGGTCCTGCTTGCTGTGCGTAGTCTGTACCTCAGCAGCTGGCTGAACACAACAAATGTACCACTTGCTTCTGGGGTCACGCGCACACCAATGGCTCAGTGGCCTGTCTTTTGGAATGATGTAAGGGAGCATACTCTACCAATATGAATGGACGCTGATCGCAGAGTCTGCTTTCGAAGGCCGTTGTCAGTTGGGCTGGTCTGATAAGAATTGACAACAACATTACCTATAAATGGGTAGGAAATGTAGCTGTTCCTGCAGGACTGAACCTCTCTGTCCTCACTAACATCCAAATCACGCCCACGTGGATAGTGATGAGCTTGACAGAGGGACCAATTGATCTCAATGTAACCTACCTGTCACCCATAGAGGTATGTTTCTCGATAATATCGCCATTATACTAAGATATTAAATGACTTACCACTAGCCAACTGACCCTGCAAAGCAATCCTTTCTGTTCGCCTATGTTTCTCTCATGGCAGTATCCAACAACGGGCAATCTCATGCTGTCCAAGTCTACTCTGATATCACTGGGGGTAAGTCTAATGTTGATTGTCAAGTCTGGATCTTGTTTAGACTATCTTGCAGAGTGGGTATCGGGAAATTGTGGGGACACAATGAAATGGCAAACAATACCTACAGATCCTATCTTATATTATCAAGCATCTTTGGAAACTCCCAAAGCCTTCACTGAAAAAGCAAGTCAGGCTGCAGATGCCACGACCTATCTCGCGACGTTGCGTGTGAGTAGCTTCCTACTGAAAACTATCTTGCGCAACACTAAGCATCGATACAGACTCCACAAATGACCTACATGGTAGACTTAGATCTGCAATGCAGAGGTCAGTTCAACAGTTTTGAAAGCCTGAAGGACACCGTCATTCCGGGCCTGTGGCTATTTCAAGGTATGTGAGATTCTTCTGAGCGATATATCCTGGAGTTCAAGCCATCTGTAGTCCGTTTTTTGTCTTTGCTATCTCGATGGACCTTGGTACTGTCACAACTACAATGGACCCTGTCATGTGGGCCGTAGGAATGTTACGTGATCCTGCAATCCAAGCTGTGATGGCCTCAGGTGCACCAGAGATGCGCAGTCCCTACTGGCACACCTAAGGTGTGGCTCAAGACATGGTGCAGCAGGATGTTCAAGTGGTGGTGCCATTCAATACTCATACCGTTTATCCCAGATCATATCATTCCTGCAAGACTACAGCTCCGCTGCTGAGCGTGCAGAAGCATTTGATACAGCACTTGCAAAGAGTGCATCATCGATCTCGCCACACCTTGTTAACCTCGTCTCTATTGCTGCACGACAGGTGATGGATGGAACAGAGCTTACCGTCGGAGGCTCTTCAGGTAGCTACAACATGTCGGACGTGAAGATGTTCATGAAAGACATCGGCCCTAGTGGCAGGGTGAATCCTGTGGAAGTGTTATACTCTGCATTCCCATTCTTCCTGAGCATCAATGGGTCATATGGTGGTTGGCTGCTGAAGCCCGTACTAGATTACGCGAGCTCGCCCTTATGGATGCAGCCATATTCTCCATGAGATATTGGTATGTGTTCTATGATTCTAGCTCACATCACACCCTAATAGCTTGATTGCAGGGCTCAACTATCCTAATGTGACAGGAGATTCCACAACCTATGATCAAGGTGTAGAATGCAAGTTGTTCTCCTTTCACCTTGCTTCCTTCTCGCTCAGCTATCTCCAGAATCTGGAAACATGCTCATTATGACCCTCGCACATGCGCGAGCAATGGGAGATGGTTCATTAATTTGTGTTTAAAGTATCTTTACACTGATCTAATTGCGCCGCGTTTTTCCCGGGATGTGCGCACTCAGACAGCATTTGAGTCAGTATCCACAGCGCAGAAAATGTCCAGCGAACACCCAACCGGAAGAGGTCTCGGTCGTGCTGCCACTGACATGAGTGGCGAACGGCATGCGCTGAGTGAGACCCCTCTTCGAGGAGTACGCAGAACGCAGGACAATTAGGAGTGCAGCACACTCCTTCTCATCTCTCACCTTTGCTACTCTAAGGTTGGTCTCTCAGCACAGCGTGCACCTTGTTGTTTCTCACTGTTGCTCACTCTCAGGCTTGTTTTCGTCTGCTATTGATCACTTTGTTCAAATCTATTGTGTCATGGCAAACAATGGATCGTCCGAGAGCTCACACACTGCTCGAACAAATTGAACCCCTGAACGCACAATGTCCTTCAATGATAGTATCGTCAAAAAATGCGAGCCTCTTGTCGAGGATTACCGGAGAGGCAAGATCTCCAAAGGCACTGCCTGCAGAGATCTTGTTGTTGCTCTCAACTCCAATGAAGAACTTGAAGCTGATGAAATCGAAGCATGCGAAAACTCCTATAAAACCTATGTTGGACAACTCGATGAAGTGGACAGAGAGAGGAGAGAAGCAAAGGGTAAAGGGCGGCAGCCTCTACACGGAAAAGAAGGAGAACAAGCCAAGTCTTCTGGAGAGGTTAGACATGAAAAGAAAAAGACCTCTCAAGGATCGCCTCGACTGCAGCTTCCAAGGACGAGAAAGCAATCTCAATCTCCTTCCAGCAGCGACTCATTAGATAATGACACCACGAAAGCATGTAAAAAGATTGACGAATCTCTCTTCCCTTTTGCGCAGACTTCAGCGGTCACCCTCAGTTTCCTTCCAAAAGCAGTACGAACCACCATTGAGCTCAAAGAGAATTACACCTGAGATCTCATGTATTCCAAGCAACGAGTCCTTAGCCAACCAAATCTCCCTGCAATCCCGGATTCCGTTTAGAGCGACGTTATTGCCAGCCGATATGTCGACCTCAATAAGATCTACTCTGGACTTGTCTCAGTTGACTCACACTCTAAACAGACCTTCCGAGTTAGAGACCTCGAACTCACAACCATGGATGCCATCCGTGTCAGTAAACATGTCAAACAGCATGGACACTGGATCACTGCCTGGACACGCTACTCCGAAGCTGTCGCTTTCATGTATCCCCACCGGCAACAGGAACTCACTGAGTACGAAACCTATATATCGCGGCTCTTCACTGCAGTCAGAAAAGCACGTGCAGGACAAGTCATTGGATACGATAAAGCCGTTCGAGGCAAAATCGGACGAAGCAACACACACCTGCTCACCGATGTCCATTCTTTCCAGGACCTCTACACCATGTACATTGTTGCTGGGTCCACAGCAGGATCAGCAGGACAAGGATTCGGAGATCGTCGACTAGCTGGTACTCGTTCTTCCAAAATCTGTCACAAATTCAACGACGGCAGATGCATCTCAAGAATGTGTTCCTACCGGCACATCTGCACCAGGTGCTGCGGCAACCATGCACTTGTCGCCTGCACCAGCGCCAATAAACCTGCTGACTCAAAGCACAAATGAACGTCCTCATTTGTTTCGCAGTTTTCTTTGGTCTGAAGATGAACAATTTGTTACGCCCCTTGTCACCGCTACTGAAACAATGTGGCTGCTTCTTTCTCCACCTCTGTCAGCACTCCAAGATCCTGCTTGTCAGTCGACTCTTTGCTCTTATCCTAGTTTTTTTCATATCGTGACACCAATAAACGTTGATCACTTCGAGTTTTATCTCCGTTCTCACCCCAATCGTCCTTTGGTTTCATGTGTTCTGCGTGGTCTCAGAGAGGGCTTCTGGCCTTTTGCAGATACCGAGGGTTTGGATTATCCAGAGACGTGGGATGAAGAACTGGTGGTGCCACTTGGGTCTCGTGAGCTGGAGTTTATTGAGGAATATGCTAGAGATGAAGAACAATGCAGTCGATATTCACATCCATTCAGACCCGATTTACTTCCTGGCATGTATTCAATGCCCATACACGCCGTCCTGAAACCCAATTTGGACAAGCCTCGTCTCATTAACAATTACTCTGCCAGTCGGTGGGCATTGAACTCTATGATTAACAAAGGAAAGGTTGGCATGCGACCCGATAATGTTCAAGATCTGGGGAGGAACCTTCTCGCAGAACGGTGCCGGAGTGGTGACGTCTCTCTGTGGCTTTGGAAGTTGGATGTGAAGAATGCGTATCGCCTTCTTCCACTGCATCCACTCTGGCAACTCAAACAGGTTGTTACTACGGCATCAGCTTCTGATCATAAGACTCGCCGTATTGATCGTAACTTGTGCTTGGGCAGCTGCAGCTCTCCTGACATTTGGCAGACTTTTATGGCACTCGTTATTTGGATCGCTGTCCATCTGGGCACACTTGAAGATGCATTGATGTACATGGATGATGTATTTGGCCATGACATGTCCCCATCTCTGGAGTTCTATGCACCCTATGGGTGTCGTATGCCTTCTAAACAAGTTCATCTTCTTCGTCTTTGGGACGAACTGGGAATTCCACACTCGGATGAGAAGCAGCTACACGGTTATGTGCTACCCATCATTGGCTGCCTTGTCGATACCGTCTCCATGTCAGTTACGCTGCCAGACGCAAAACGGCTCAAGCTCGCCCACGCCGTTTGCACATTCACTGAGTCCAATGACCGTCGCCGGTTCTTACGCAGGTGGCAACGCATGCTTGGCTGGATCAATTGGGGCCTCAATGTTCAACCGCTCCTTCACCCGGCTCTGCAATCGTTGTACGATAAGCTCAAAGATAAAACCAGAAAACCTTGGTCACAAATTTACCATAACAAACGTACCAAGCGGGATCTTCTCTGGATTGCAGATCAGCTGAAGCGTCACTGTGGAGTTTACCTCCTGCGTGCTCGCGTTTGAGAGCCCTCTAATGCACACTTGACTCTCTTCTGCGACGCGTCCCTGGACGGCATGGGTATTTGGTGTCCGCAACTCTCCCGTGCTTTTACTGCGGCTCATTTGCCTGATGCGCCACTCACATTGGGAGCTAACATTTTCTGGTTTGAGGCTCTCACCGTCCTCTTTGCCCTTCAGTGGGCGGCCACCTTACCATGTGGGCAATTGCCTCTCCGCCTTGCTATCTTCACCGACAATATGAACACTGTGCAGGTGTTTGATAGCTTGCGCGCCAAGGGTCATTTTGTCGACATCCTCCTCACAGCATGTTCACTGCTGATTCAGGCCATACCTCAAATTGATCTTTGTGTGTGGCATGTTCCTGGGGTGGTCAACATCGTTGCGGATGCTTTATCTCGCCACCTGCTTCACATTGTCCGGCAGTATTGCCCCGATGCTGCTATCTCTCAATTTATACCCTCTTGATGGACACCGCAGGGGGAACTCACATTATGAACGCAGTTCCTCGACTGGCCAGGCAATCTGTGCGTGAAGCCTGGTCATTCAAAAAGTTAGTTCGTGAACGTGCGATTGCTCCCGGCTTCGCTCTCGATAAATCGACCCACAAGGCGTATACTTCCCATCTTCAGTCCTATATGTCCTTCTGTGACGCCCATGACTCCCCTCTCGATCCGACGCCTGACACCCTGTCTTTCTACGTTGTCTACATGTCGCACCACATTAAACCAACTTTTGTTGAAACCTATCTGTCCGGCATTTGCAGCCAACTCAAGTTTGTTTATCCCATGGTGCGGGAAGTGCGAAAGTCTCGCATTGTCACACGTTCCCTTGCTGGCTGCCAAAAGCTCTTTAACTCCCCTCGCGAGCGCAAACGTCCTTTGACACCGGACGATCTCCTGGCAGTGTTGGCAGGCACGAACTCCCACCCTTTGGTGCATGTTTGATTAATCATGTGGCAGTAACTACTACGGTGTGCAATGTATTACTTACTAGTAACTGAGCTAGCAACTGCGTAGGGCCTGTAGAGCCTCTCTGGCACCTCTCGGCATGCTATATATGGTGTTTCCATCAACTGGGATTGAAATATAGACCACATTTGGGAGACATGCTATAACATACCGCTTTGGGCGCTTGTTTTTGTTTTATGACATGGGAAGGTGGAGAACATATGTTTGAACATATTTGCTATACTAAACATATATCAGAAACCAATATTGAGCCCGCTATTCACAAAATACTCGCCGAGAGTCGAGTTTTTGCGGATATAGCGCGGACTTAAGCCCCATCAGCTCCATCAAGTGCCACCAAGCTGCTACCCGGCTATCTGGCTCCCTACATCAATTTCGCTTTTTGGGGCCATTCTTGGCTCAATTCCTCCCCTTCCCTTTGTCCAATGAACTCCAAACCTTCTGACATATGTACCTGTACCTATGTAGAGTAGTTATGTGCAGTTTAGAGTGAATATAACTGCTGTATAATATACTATACTTTTGTTTCTATTACAAATCAATTTCTTTGGGCCTGAAAGTAGCAGGAAACCCTTTGCAAAGCTCCTACAGCTCTTCTAATGTTATACACTCATGATAGATGGCA